GCAGTAACATCAGGTGCTGCAGCAGCAGCCAGCCCAACGTCTTCGACCCTCGGCTGGCATCACTGCCCACGGGGTTCGACCGGCGAGGGGTTTCTGACGGGTCCGCGGCCAGCGAGCTCTCGAGAACACCCTTCCGCCTTAGGAGAAAGAAGCCGCACATGGCGACGATCTACGTGGACTCCCGGCGGCGGGTCTCGGGCTCGGATTCCAACTTTGCGTTCGAGCTGCCAAGATGGCGGTGTACAAGGTGCGCATTGCGGACGCCTTCCTGAGCACCTGGGCACGCTGAACTCCGCGCAGCTGCCCGTGGGCGCCTGGACGGGCGCCCGGCTGGCGGCCTGGATCTCCTCGAACTACGCCGCGGCCACCTACGTCGAGGCCACCAACGCCATCGAGGTGGCCTCCGACGGGAACCGCAGAATCTTGTCTGACGCCGAGCTGCGGGACCTCTTCCCCAACGGGCCGGGCTACCCCCAGGGCGCCGGCCCCACCAGCCCCCAGAGCATCAACCACCTGCTGGGGGGCAGCTACGTGGACGGCTCGCTGCAGATCTTTCCCTGGGTCTCCATGTGCCCCTACCAAGAAGTCTTCCTGAGGTGCCGGGAGCTGGGCAACGCGGCGCACATTCTGGGCCCCCTCGGCACCGACATCATCTGCAAGGTGATCATCGACAAGGGCGTGGGCCACGTCATGAAGGATCAGACGGACGAAGGGCACCTGGTGGAGCTGCGCAGGCCCATCACGCTGCGGACGCTCCATTTCCGGCTCACCGACGTGGACGGCGCCGAGGTGAACACGCGAGGAACCAGCGTCAGCTTCGCCATTTTCCTCGAGCCAGATAAGTGAGGCGCCACCAATATAAAAGCCAACATGCCGGATGAGCCGGAGCCCCAGCAGGCTTCGGAGGCAGGCGGCCCGGCTGCTGGGGAGCCCGAGCGCGCCACGCCCGCCCCCGAGCCCCGGCGGAGCCTGTGCCAGCACCTGCTGGACCTGCTGGGAATCTTCCCGCACTTCCCTCTGCCGGGGCTCCTGGCAGCGTGCCCGCCACCGTGCCCGCCGCGCCCAAGAAGCGCAGCCGACCGCCCGGCTCCAGGAACAAGCCCAAGCCGCCGCCGCAGACCGTCCCCACCGACCCTGGGCCAAGCAGTGAGCCGCTACCAAAGGCGGCAGCACCAGCGCCGGAGCCGGAGCCGAAGCAGCCCGAGCCCCCTCGACAGCCGGTGCACATGACGCCCGCCCAGATGCGCATGGTGCGGCAGATCAGCAAGCAGAACCGCTTCGAGCAGCTGGCCATGGCGAACAGCATGGACGTCTAGGTGTAAAGGCACCATGATGTCCCTGGAGCGGCGCAACGAGCCGCAGATGCTGCGGAGCTTCTGGAAGCACTACCCGTCCTACAGGGTGCAGCCGCTGCTCCAGAAGCGCTACCACGAGCTCCTGGAGGCTCGCGCCTTCAACGAGTGGCTAGAGAACCGGCGGATTCGCAAGGAGGGCGAAGAGTACACCGACACAGTGGGCCGGCTCACGGACGCCGTGAACCGCCGGGTGCCGCAGCTGCGGTTCGCCCCCGCGGCGCGGGCCGGCGTGCAGCGGGCCGGCAGAGACATCGCGGCGGGGCGCAACACTCAGGAGTCGGGCGAAGATGGAGGAGAGGCGCCAGTACGGCTTCCGTGTCAGGCCCAACTATGGCCAGGTCCTGGGCTACATAGAGGAGGGCGAGCCCCTGCCGGTGGAGCTGCCCAAGCGCAATGCCTCGATCTACATGGCCTCCCACTTCTATTTGGACGATTTCCCCCAGTCCTCCGAGCCCCTCTCCGACCAGCCGCTGCCGCACACCCACGTGAACCCCGCGGAAGCCTTCGAGGCAGAGGACGAGGGCTACCGCGCGGGCAGCCCTTCCCGCGGCAGCCGCAGGAGATGCTGCGGCAGCGCAGCTTCTTCAGCGACACCAGCAGCGACTTCGGCGGGACCGACACCGCGCAGGCGCTGCGCAGGGACGGCTTCGACGCCCCCCAGCCGCCCTCCTTCGGCAGCCGGCTGCGGGAATCCGGCGCCCACGCCGCGGAGACGGCCATCGCCGGGTTGGGGGTCGGGGCCGGGCAGTACGCCGAGAGCGCCGCCCACAGGGGCCTGGACAGAGGGGAGCGCTGGCTGGATCGAACGCTGAGGGTGCCCCCGGCGGAAGGCTTGGCGCCGTCGCCGGACGAGGCAGCCGTGGACCCCCAGGCTGGAGCGGGCGGGGCAGAGGGCGGCGCTGCAGGAGGCCAGAGCCGTCCAGGACATCGAGGCCTTCACGCAGGGGCAGGCCGCGGCTTCGGCCGGCGAGGCAGCGGCTGTGGCCGAGGGTGGAGGCACGCTGGCGTTGCTTGGCGAGGCCGCCCTGGGCACCGCGGCCGGCATGGGCGCGGCGGCAGGGGGGCTTGCCGTGGCGGGCGCGGGCGCCGCATGGAGGGCGGGCTCACGGCCGCGAGCCACATGATGGGCTGGGGCGGCGGAGGTGGAGGCACGGACAGCGACCAGAGCCGCCCCAGCAGCGCCGTGGACATCCAGACCTTGAACGGCATGCAGGAGTCAGGAGTGCAGCAGCACTTCAGCCTGCACCAGCTGCTCCGAGGGCCCAGCCGGCGTCGAGGGTGCGCGCCAGGGCGGCGCGGCAGCAGCCGCCGCCTTTCGGAATCAATCCGGTGCTCCTGCCACGGCCGCAGGGCCAGTCCAGCGGCAGCGAGGGCTCCAGGATCAGCCGGCAGAGCCGCGGGCCGCTGGGCGCTGAGCCCTCGTTCGACCAGCTGCGGAGCGACCTCGAACTTGCGTGAACGCAAGCGGGATGGAGAACGTCACGCAAGCGGTGAACGATGAGCTCATGCAGAGCTTGGACTACAAGCTCGCCACCTCGAACGTGAATTACGTGCAGTCCAGGCGCGACGTACAGTATTACCCGTCGAGCCTGTCCACGTTCACGCCCACCACCAGTCGCGTGGCGAGGATTCCCCTCACCAGCGGCATGGACTTCATTGACCCTGAAAGCGTGAAGATCGCCTTCAGGGTCAGGAACAACAACACCGACGCAGACGGCCTGTTCCCGGGCACCATCGAGCCCAGCTGCTTCATCAAGAGGGTCCAGCTCTACTCCAACGGGCAGCGAACCGACGATATATCAGAGTATGGCAGGAGCTGCTACCTGTACTCAGCGGGGCCTCGAGGGCTTCTGGCA